TATCTATCTATCTATCTATCTATCTATCTATCTATCTATCTATCTATCTATCTATCTATCTATCTATCTATCTATCTATCTATCTATCTATCTATCATTTCCTTTTCCTCTACTGTTGGACTATAATTAATAATGTAAGGCATTTAAAATGAATAATAATGCATTAAAGATATCGAAAATTTATGTAGCAAGTGTCTGTGGTTCTACTTTTCACCGTGACATTGACAGACATCTCTTAGGGCTGCACGATAGCCATGACTGAGTTGTGTTTTAAGCACTCCCTGGGCATTGACTGATCAGGGGAAGTAGCCTGCAGGGACACACATATAACCTCTGACAAACACTCAGTCACACATGCACAAAAGAAATGTGTGTAAATTGGTGCGTCAAAGAAAGCCTTATGTACTGCCAACCTAGCAGTCTGAGAAAGGGTTTACTCAAGGGGATTGAATTTTGTTGAGCCTGACACAGCAAATGGCTTCAACACAGTTACTTTGTGTCAAAGCTACGAGAATGGTAGCTTGGGGCTTATTAAAACTGCTCTGGACAGAGGAGTCAGTTTTGCCACAGTCAGGGATGCACTGTAATTAACATAAGTCATGAAAATAAAAGATAACAGTTGTTTGCGGCCTTAATTATCAAATGAAGGATCTAAGGTGGATACAAAATCAAATGCTAATAAGGAAACCTTCACAATGCCAATGCACACGAGGTTTTTCCCCACCCTGTGATGCATTGTTGTTTTTTGCCTTTCTGTCAAGGTTTGACTGGCAGTTTTGTAATTGCAGTATTCAGTGCAGCAATAAAATAGACCAACTCAAACAATTGCTTTGGGTGATCCTCCAAAAAAATGTGCCTGCCAGCTTTCACCCAGCTGTCAGCTCCTCCAGATGTTGCCTCATAATATCGCCTCATTTGCAGCCCACCTCAAGACAGACGTTGCTAATACTGTAAATTCAGTGGTGCAGCCTGATGGTCATGCTTATGCAAGAAATCAGACCTTTAACATTACACCAACTCCTGCTTGTGATGTTCATGTGAACACAAGTCAAATGCTGCTGCTGTGGCTTAAAGCGATCACCCCCATCAGATTCAGTGGTTTTTGTCATGTACAGTATCATCACTGTGTACACTGTTTAAGTTAATTAAGTGGATTTATTCAATGGTTAAAACTATTTTGCAGTTTTCTCTTTAAAAACAATCAAAAGATCATTCCTGATTAAGTTGCTAAAATATTTATTAACCTGTGTTTTTGGGCAGTTTGAAAGGTTGGATTGCATCTGTGAACTGCCATCATCAGGCCTCTCCACAAAGTTCTATTTTGTCTAAGTATGACCTTTGGCTGGGCTACTCATGGTTTGCATTTTTTATTCTAATTTGACTCATACTTATTCTTCCTTTCTTCCATTCAGACCAGTGTTCCTATAACAGTTCCCAAGAAGCCACCACACAGCACCGTGTTGTTATCTCCATAGCCATAGACATGTTATTAGACAGGAAATCATGCCATAGTGCTTGGAGTTCTACCCACTGAGTTCAATTTCTGTCTCATCAGATGAGATAAACTTATTCCTGATGCTGCTGGATGCATTTAACTGATGTTCAATAATCTCAAAGCAGCTGTCATATGGCTTAGACTCAGACTGGCTTCTTTTCAGCCCCCAAGACCTAAAGACATGATCTCAGTGCTTCTACTGAGATGATGATCCTACAGCAGGTTTCCCAGGTTTCTTATCTGCAGCAGACCTCTAAGCCTCTGCTTGATTGATCAGTGGGTTCTTTCTGAATAAGGCCCTTCTCCCTCTGTCTCAGTTTGGTCAGACATTTCTAAGAATAGTCTTGCTGGTTCCAAAATTATTCAATTTCATGATTATTAAGGCCACTGTGTTCCTTGGAGCACTCAGATTTAAAAATGGGTTGATATTTGCCTCCACGTATGTCTAGCCACAGTTTTATCACAGGGGCCTACTGTGTTCCTGTGACTCCATGGTTCAGCTTCTGTCCTGACATTAAGTGTGATCCTGGGACTTCATGTACTCCTTTTGCACATATTCCTAAAAACATGTCTTCACAGCATTATTGGGAGTTACCAAGCGTAGAATAAACATTAGAATTCTATACTTTTATCTCCTAATTAAATCTATAACAGTATATAAAAAGTGAAGGAATCATAGAAGTTCATTACTGCACTGCTCTGCACTCAGGTCCATGCACTAAGTATTTGCAGATTCTCTCAGGGAAACATTTCCTTTTAGCCTTTAACTCACACCGACAACCCATCTAAACGAGTTAACAGACATTTCTAAGTACTAAATGTCTGTGTTGTGCCCTCATGTTTCCACATGACTACCAACAAATTTTAAATTACAAATGTTCAGACCGTACTTGTTGCCCCGTAGCTGCAGATGTTATTTGCGCTTCAACATCTGGTGCTCACACCCGATGACAATGGAAACTCACTGAAAAGAACTAGTTAATTATGGGTGGATATAAAATATGCTTATACTCCTTTTTTTTCTTGCATATTTCCTTTATATGTGCAAGTTCACTCTTCATCCTAAATATGTTAAAATATTATAATTAACAGGGTGAACCTTTCATCACTTTTCAAACTTTTCAAGGAAAACCAAAAGAGTTGCAAAAGGCCTGAAAAAAATCCCCACAAACATTTCACTTTCTTTTTTTAGTGACTCCATACAAAATGTAGATCTCTTATGTGCATACTAATAAGCCCCAATAAATAATAAGTGTGTGTTTGACAAATACGTTTCTGACATCAAACAATGGATAATTAGTTAATATTCAGGACGGAAATGCAGCTCATTATATTTAGAGCCACGGAGTAGATTAGTGTGCATCTTAGACCTACATAAAACACTCTAGGGATATATTGCTCTGCACATAAATCACATAAAGTATTTAAATGCTATATAGTGAAATCACAAATATTGTCAGGCAAAGGGAATTAGAAGAAATTATGTTTCCTTGGTGACAGGCTAATGTATGAAACATTCCCTTTTAACTTAAAAAGATGAGCATTTATGGAGCTACTATTTCATTCGCAGACATTTTTGTTTGTCTTTGGGCAATATATAAAGTGTTTGTAGTAAAACCAGTAATCTGATTGTAGCCATTGCCAGTAATAGATTAATGTAAGCATTACGGCTCTGCAGTTGATTTGTGGATACATTAGGACCATTACATAAACGACCGGGACAGACTAATAGCAGGCTAAATTTTGGACATTGGTGAAAATAACATGGTTAAGTGCATTGCAGTACACTGTAACTTATTACGCCTGCCAGCTAATAGAAATGAATAGAATCAACTTTATTGTCCACCAGAGTGGAAATTTGTCTGAGTACACTTAACCGTTTGGACAATTATGTCATAAACTTTGTTCTAATTTATTATATTAATCTAAGCTTTATATCTGTTGTGGTACGCACGTGTCCGTGAGCCACTGTGGCAGCCTTGGAGTCTTTCCTGACAGAGTTGTTGTTTTATATGTTGGTCCAAAATAGAAATGACTTCTGGATACATTTGCTTCGTACTCTCAGATGGAGAGCCTATGAAATATTAAAGTAGGAATCTATTTTTTATCCAGTGGCCATAAAAAGACGAGTCCAGTTAACCAGGGCTGTGCCACAGGGAGGACGATAAACTGTTTGCATTTTAAATTATACATAAAAATGGGCTATGGACTGTGAATTAGAAAGTAATGGCTGTACATTTATTTTGGAGGTATGTGCACAAGAGCTTGAGATTTTGAGTGTGAGCGTGCTGCCATAAGCTTGCTGTTGCATGCTCCCCACTGAGATTTTGAGTCCTACCCAGTGGTGCCGCTAAGTGAGCAGCTTGGCGACATTTGTAAATCGAATGACTTTATGGAATGCAAAGCTGTAAACCCTCTGATGGATTAACTTGAATCCAGTCTGTATGGAATCTCTAATGAGCAATTACACTCACACAGACAGGGTTCAAAGCAATTAGTGTGGTAACTAGAATCAGCTTCTAGTCAAGAGCAAGGTGAGGCACCTTGATCCCAGGACTAGACCCTATTCTCTTTTTGTCTCCTGAGACTCCTCCCTCCTTCTCTGTGGCTTATGCAAAGGGCTAGGCACAAATTGACTTGATGGAGATGGGTTTATTCCAATCATGGCTGCAAAGATTTTGCCTAAACAGCTCTGAGAAAGAAGGCTGCCCTTGGGTGTAGCTGCAAAAATGATGATTTGAAGTCTACTTGCTCGCTGTCCATCTTGTGGCAGCATATTGAATTTGTTTACAAGTGTTTTACTTAGCCCGTCGGCACAGAAAAGCTGTACTTCTTTTTTTGCAAACATCGCCAGTCTGTGAACTGGTCTCACCTACTGTAGAGTGGCATAAAAAGCTAGTTGATAGCGTAGCGGCTTTATCTCTTTATGAGCTCCTATAGGGAAAGATTGCAGGAAAATTGGTTCTACCACTATCAAAGAGCAGATACTGCTAGGGTAAGGGATAAAGGGGTGAAAAAAAAGTCTACATTTACTCTTTCTATATTCCCTCATCTGTTCCTTTATCCCTTAATCTCCCTCCCTCTCTTTGTCTCTCTGTCTCGTTCTCTCTCTCTCTAGCTCTTTTCCTCTCGTAAGCACTGAATCACCACCATTTTGTTGTCTGCCTCTACATGTTTTGGAGCCAGTTCCTTTAATTCTCCACCTACACTCTTTGATGTGTTCAGTACACGTTCATTTTAATTTACACATTGCCGTGCTTTGGCCCGTCTCTAAGCATGGATAATAGAGCAAATGAAGGAATCATCATTTGCAGCGATCAAAAGTTTATAGTGATTATAAGTAATGCTGTGACTCTGTGATTTAAGCTAACACTTGGGGGTTATTTGAATTCACCAACCTTTAGCTCAAGACCCCAAAAGACTAGTTTCATCTTCTGGAAAGCTCACTGAGCACTTTGGTTGTTCTAGAACTCTCATTGCGAGCCGACATGTCTAACTGCCCCTCCCCACTGGGCTGCCCGACCCACTTCTCAGGCTCTCCGGGGATGAAGATCTACATTGACCCCTTCACCTACGAGGACCCAAACGAAGCTGTACGAGAATTTGCCAAGGAGATAGATGTTTCTACTGTCAAAATAGAGGAGGTCATTGGTGCAGGTATGGCAAATCTTCGTGCATGCGTGCTTTTGTATTCTGTGTCTGTGTGTCAGATAAATGTGGATTGTTGAGTTGTTGTATGTCATATAAAAACCTGAATCTGTTCAAGGTCATGAAGAACAACCTTTCTGGCAGCCACTTCAGATGGGAACATGTCAAGGGCCTATGTCAAGTGTACTAGCAGTATATAGGCCACCTACCCAGGGACATAATGTCATTAGAAATAACTCAACCCTCTCTGCCTTTTCTTTGTGCTTCTGTGTTTTTGGATCTTGTTGATTTTGGCTTTGATCATGTTCAGCCCTTGCATCATTTCTTCCCCATTTACTTTACATGTAAAAGTGCAGACATTTTGTTTCCTGTCCTTGCTTTCTTGTTTTGTTTTGTTTTTCTTAGCTTGAGAATGACCTCTTATGTATTATTAAACTGTATATTAAAATTACAACTACATAATTAGGTCCTGATTGCTTTCAAGTGAATTCTGATTAAACTTAGGTTCAGTATGTCCATGTGTTTGGTACATGTCCCTTTCTTTGGGATCGAACACATCTTTTCTACAGCCGAGAGGACACTGACATCATACATGCTGGTTCATATGGAGGCTAAAATACCCCTGGTAATGTTGCTGGGCCTGGAATAGCTTTGGAGCACAGGCGGCCTCAGCAAGCTAGGTGTGAGGAAGTGACAGAGATACAATAGGGATAAGGATGCAGTGGGATCAGCTAATTAAAGGTTTTTGTTTTTGTTGATTTCACTATGTGTTGTCTCTCCAGGACACCAAGGTGGTGATAATTAATCACATGGGTTCCAGAAATTTGCCAGACAGTGCTTGCCTGGTATTGTTTGATAGGGGGAATATAAAGGCACTTGCCAGCCTATGCTGTGTGTCAGAGGAGCCATACTGTATTATATGATAGCAAGACATAACAGGCTCTATAAAAGCACTTTAGGTAACTTTAAAAACAGACGTGAAATTTATGATCTGATTAACTCTGCTTTTGTGTAAAGGCTTTTTCTGCTAACAGAAGGAAATGAGGAAACTCTTCTTTCTCTTTCAAACTAGGGGAATTTGGGGAAGTCTACAAGGGCCGTTTGAAGCTACCTGGCAAGAGGGAAATCTATGTAGCCATTAAGACCTTGAAGGCGGGCTATGTGGAGAAGCAGAGGCGGGACTTCCTGTCTGAAGCATCAATCATGGGCCAGTTTGACCACCCGAACATTATCCGTCTTGAGGGTGTAGTCACAAAGAGCCGTCCAGTTATGATCGTTACTGAGTTTATGGAGAATGGCGCCCTTGACTCATTCCTCAGGGTGAGTGATTTTTTTTTTTTTTAATGCTTGTACTGTGTCACACAAAGTTGCAAACAGCTATATGACGAGATCTGAAGCCATGTGTGAGTTAAATGGAAGCTTGAAAATCTGAGACTGAGAAGCTAATTGGAAGTAAATTGTAAAGCAATCCCACTAAAGGAGTTCATGCTAAGAATCCCTCCTAATACAAATTGGAATGAGCCTTCTTAATCTGTCCAGTGCCAACGGAGAATATGTTTCATGACAATGAACTTGATTTCAGTCATTCTTAATTTGAAAATTTCCACACTGGCTAGCTTTATCAGCCTTTAATTTAATGCCTGGAGCTATTAATGGACTCTTCACTCTTTCTTTTATAGTCAGGATTGAGCGGACATACAGCTTAATCAATATTCAGCTCTCTTTTTTCCTGCTTCAGTCTCATGGATTGGTGTTCTATTCCACTTTGATCTAGGGTGGGTTTAAATGGGTTCTTTGAAGTTGGCTTTGCTAACCGCCACATCCGACTTGTGTTTCCATCGATCTCTCTTACCCTCTTATTTGTTACTGGGTTTCTGGGGTTCAAAGCTTGCTCTTCGGAGCATTCACACAGGGGTAGGGGCACCATTCTTGGAGTTTAAAGAGATGGATGCCTGCATGCCTGAATGGAACAATGCTCTAACACCTACACTGAGTAAGATTGGCTGCAGGAATCTGATTTGCTTATTTAATACAAGTATACTCTTCCTCTGGACATTAAAAGAATTTGAAAGGCAAGACAGGGACTCAGTGTGTTGATTTTGTAATTGCAAAGTGTAACCAACAAACAAGAAAAAAAAGGACGCACAAGAAAAACTAAAATCAAAGATAACTCAAAATAAGGGTCTTGTATGTAGCTATAACAACATGACTCCTCTTGTTATCTGCCATGTGCATGTACCCCATGGCTGTGATAATAATGATCTGCTGCAAGGCTTACCTCATGCTACAGAAGAAGATGAGAATCCAACTGAGCAGCCTTGACTCAAACCGAATTTGATTACGGCACACGTTGAATGAGGAAGTGGAGTGATGAATTTAAGTCAACATGTGTTAATGATTCAGTAAGAAGAAACAGCGTAATTATTTTTTTGCCTATTAAAAATGGTTATATTAGCCTTTGCTGCAATCTGCGACCTCCAGCTTTGCTCATTTACAGCATGGCAACGGCATGACATAAGCTCTGCATTTTCATTTGTTTTGCTCTCTGTCCTTTAGCAAAATGATGGTCAGTTCACAGTGATCCAGTTGGTGGGAATGATGCGTGGGATTTCTGCAGGAATGAAATATCTCTCAGAAATGAACTACGTCCATCGTGACCTGGCCGCACGGAACATTCTCGTCAACAGCAACTTGGTGTGTAAAGTGTCCGACTTTGGTCTGTCACGCTACCTGCAGGATGACACGTCTGATCCCAGCTACACCAGCTCTCTGGTGGGTAATAATTGTGTTTTACTTTGTCTCAGTGTCATGGGGAAACTGTTATTCACGTAGCGCTTATCTAAATATAATTTCAAGTTTCCCAACGTCTTTTGCTGACATATAAACCAATTGAAAAACACCACCTATCAGTCTAATAAGTTTTGCTACTGACAATGTCTCACTCTTTTTGAAGGTCTTGCAAACCTTTCACCTTTTCAGCGCCTTTCATTTTATATGAGCTGCCACTCTTTGCTTCCTCATCCTCCTTCCACTCTTCCCTATACCCTGCAAGTCACGGACCGGAGGTCTGTCACATCTTCATTAGTGTGGAGACAAGTCTCCTCTGGGAAGGCTCTCTCGTTGGCATGCCCAGAGTGCAGAGAAACCAAAGGGCATTGCAGCCTCTCAAACTGACATCTCCCACCCTTCTCTCTCTCTCTCCCTCTTTCCACTCTCTCACTCCTCATTCATTATTACTGGAGCATCATGGGAGGCTTTGGCTCCTCATTAACTCCTCCACGCTACAGATCTGTAATTATTAGCAGCCATCGTTAGTTCATCTTCTGCCTCTCCTCTTTCTAATTCATAACACACTTTTACACCCTTGCAAACACACGGCGTAGGTCATTAGGACTCCGGACATGCCTTAGGTTGTGTGCTGGGATTTAGTTGAGTGTGTGTGTGTGTGTGTGTGTGTGTGTGTGTGTGTGTGTGTGTGTGTGTGTGTGTAGGCGCATATAAGGCACCGTGTGGACATCCACAAGCATGCACGTGTGTATCTCGTGTGGCTACGGCTGATGTGCGTGTTCTTCAAGCATCATATCATATATATATATATATCACAAACACTACATATATATATATATATATATATATATATATATATATATATATATAAAAATATATATATATATATATATATATATATATATATATATATATGTATATATATAAGATACAGCCAGTATCTTAGCTGTTCCCAGGACTGCACTCTGTTCTGGACAGAGATCTCCGATGTTGTTCCCGGGATCTGCTGGAGCCCACCGTAGCTTGGGAGTCACCGCACCTAGTGCTCCGATTACCACGGGGACCACCGTTACCTTCACCCTCCACATCCTCTCGAGCTCTTCTCTGAGCCCTTGGTATTTCTCCAGCTTCTCGTGTTCCTTCTTCCTGATATTGCTGTCATTCGGAACCGCTACATCGATCACTACGGCCGTCTTCTTCTGTTTGTCTACCACCACTATGTCCGGTTGGTTAGCCACCACCATTTTGTCCACAGGATCTTAGCTCGGTCATTCTCCACCACCCTTGGGGGCATCTCCCATTTTGACCTCGGGACTTCCAGGTTATACTCGGCACAGATGTTCCTGTACACTATGCCGGCCACTTGGTTATGGCGTTCCATGTATGCCTTGCCTGCTAGCATCTTGCACCCTGCTGTTATGTGCTGGATTGTCTCTGGGGCATCTTTACACAGCCTGCACCTGGGGTCTTGCCTGGTGTGATAGACCCCAGCCTCTATGGATCTTGTACTCAGAGCTTGTTCTTGTGCTGCCATGATTAGTGCCTCTGTGCTGTCTTTCAGTCCAGCTTTGTCCAGCCACTGGTAGGATTTCTGGATATCAGCCACCTCCTCTATCTGCCGGTGGTACATACCGTGCAGGGGCCTGTCCTTCCATGATGGTTCCTCGTCTCCCTCCTCTTTCTTGGGTTTCTGCTGCCTGAGGTATTCACTGAGCACTCGGTCAGTTGGGGCCATCTTCCCAATGTATTCTTGGATGTTCGTTGTCTCATCCTGGACTGTGGTGCTGACACTCACCAGTCCCCGGCCCCCTTCCTTCCGCTTAGCGTACAGCCTCAGGGTGCTGGACTTGGGGTGAAACCCTCCATGCATGGTCAGGAGCTTTCTTGTCTTTATGTCAGTGGCTTCTATCTCCTCCTTTCAGCCTGGGACCTGATCACGGGCAGGGCGTAGCTGTTGATAGCCTGTCTATCTATCTACATATATATATATATATATATATATATATAATATATAGAGAGAGAGAGAGAGAGAGAGAGAGAGAGAGAGAGAGAGAGAGAGAGAGAGAGAGAGAGAGAGATTTCAGTGAGCCGTGTCCTGTGTTTTACCTGTCTGCTTCTTATTTTGAGTTGACGGCCTCAAGTGGCTCTGCACAGCCCATTTTAACTGCGCTACCTGTGAACAGGGATTTTAACTTGCTTCATAACACCGCCTTGGGGTTTCTTGCTGAAAGTGATTCATTGTATACAATCTGAATATAGAGCTTTGTGATACTGTGGGGGTGGGGGGGTGGGGGGTATATATTATGAATAAATATGAATGCAATCTGAATATATTACACTATCAAAAGGGGCATATTTTTAGGATCAGGTTCATAGGTATTTCAACACATGCAGAACTTGAGATCTAAAGCAACCAGTCAAATAGCCTGTGAGTCGGTGTAGGTATGAAAAGGAGAGTTCTCAAAATAATCTGCATTCATCTAAATATAGGTGAAGAAACAAAACAGTACTAGACAACACACAGTCCCCTGTTCATTTTCCTGTCTTCCTTAGTGCCTGCATTATGCCGAAGCTGCTTTTCTCCTGAATTATTACTTATAAACAGGAAAAGCATAAAAAGCAAGCCCAAGGTAAGCCATTGATTGGTTGGAGCATGGTTGCTGATTTGTGAGAGTGGCAATAAGAGTGATGTGGCAGATATAAGTCAGAGGAGATATGACCACACATTGGTGTGACTGAGAGCTAATTGCTCCCCAGGAGTAACCTGCTTTGTATGCTTGACCCTATAGCTAAACCTTGCTGAATGGGTATTATTTAGCAACAAAGAGGAGCAGCACTTCTGTTGTCTGCACTGCTGAGCTTTACTAATAAACCAGTGTGTAAAAGATAGGGAATGGATTATAGATTGCGGTCCGTATTTTGAAGTTGTTTATTGCAAACTCTCCAAACTCTCCTTGAGGGCATTATCTGGAAAGTACATAGAGCAAGTTGAGTTTTGAAGTCTGAACCTGGGGAGATGTTGTGATGTTAACACACTCTGGTTTTTTGATGGTGTGTTTTTAACTGATAGAGAGTTTGAAACAAGCATATCGAAGCTTTGGCTGTGCTTCACTTTTATACTGAGTCCTCATTTATTATCATAGGGATTCAGATGAAATCTTGGGTTTTAGCTGATTTTTGTTTTTAAATCAAGAGTCAAGAGAGCAGTTTTATCCACATGTCTGGGAGGCGTATTCTGTTAATGTGCCAGTTAAACGATTAAATAAAAGCGAAAGTGCTTTCCCATCAGAATGCAGGCACTTCATAAGCCTAGCTGATGTTGCCACACTTTCATGTCCTCCTGGTTCAGTTTAACCTGTGATTTAGGGGGCATCTATGCATACATGCTACAAGAAGGGGGGTGTTCTATGTTGTAATTAAGGAAAGCATGGCTCATGCCCTTCACTCCATGACCTCTTTAGTTATGACCTGATGCTAAACAATCAGTGAGCAAGGCTGGCATCGCAGACAAGGCTGAAGGAAATTCGTAAATTAAATTGCACTGACAGGCAGTGATTTACATCGGCACCAACCTCCTCCTCTAGCAAATTAATCACCTCTTTCCCTCTGCTGCTTTTCTAATTTTTGCCTGCAATTCTAAGCACACCAATTACAGTGCCTGTGGTGTGATGTTGGATGTATGGTTGGGAGGACATGCTGGTAATTGTGTTAACCCTGGACGTGGGTTCAGTCTGGAGCAGTGTTGTGGAGTTTCAGACAGAAGGAGGCTGTCCTTCCTCTCTGTTGGCTGCTCACCAAAGTCATAATTAATTAGGCTCACAGGACAATACCTGAGCCACTCTGGTCTTACTAAGGTGATGCAGGCTAACTGATTTAAGGACTCTAAAAGATTGTGTGCTTCATTGCAGCTATGAATTTACTGTGTTTGTTTCAGTGCAGATTTTATATACTCAACTGCACGAGTTTAAAAAAAATAACCAACTGGCTCATCTCAAGTCGTGATGCAATATGAGTAACCCTGCTAACCTAGCAAACAAGCAAGGCATTTAGTCACTATTCCAATCCATAAAAAAAAGTTTATCATTCCATGCATCACTTGTGTATTTACAACTTTCATCAGAAGCTCAAATACCATTACGCCAGCCCTTACAGACTGGCTAGGTGCCTCCCTATATAATAGGCTGACATAGCGTCAGATGTCATTCAAACACCTCTTCTCGCTTCTCACAGAAGCTTGTAGACAACTGTGCTATTGGGTGCTAAAGCTAAACTGTCCACAGATTCGAGTGAACAACTCGGTC